TAAGATTTCAGAGTCCTGGACATCTGTTTGAATTACAAACTCTGCCAAGTAGTCCATAATAACAATAGAGGTGAACCGATTCTTGACATGATTATCACTAATATGAAATCAGTGTACAAGAAACCTGAAATTCTCCCCCGTTAGTTCATCGGATCATAATAATGTCCTGTGGAGTGCTAAAGCTCAAGCAAGACCACCTAAGTGCATAAAGCAAGCAATTCGACCTATCCTCCTGACTACCAGGAAAAAACAGTTTTGTGAAGTTAGTATTTTGTCATGTCATTACATTGTTTAGAGCATAAGAAAAAATTTGAAAAATAACATTTTTGAAAAATGATATTTTATTCATATGTTATGCCATGTCCTCTGTAGAAGACATCAGGACTTTAAAAAGTCCTTAAAGACCAAGGAGAGGGAGTGGTCACGGTGAAACATCCAATCATTCGGTATCTCTGAAAAGCACAGAATGTGCTCTGTACAGGACATCCAGACTTAAAACTGTGACATGTAACGTCTCAGAGAAATCGCTAAAACAATGTCCTCTACAGAAGACAAAACTCCATAGCTGGTAGTCAGGAGGCTATGACAGAGTCTAGTCTGAATGAGTTTGGTAGATGGATTACTACTCACTCATGGCAGGACGTAAATGAAGCAACTGGTGCCAATGAAAAAGCTAATGCTTTTTATAATACTATCTTGCCTGAAATTGACAAACATTTTCCCACGAAGACAGTAAAAATGTATCCCTCGGATAAACCATGGATCACTCCTAAGATTAAGCGTCTAATCTACCTGAGACAAAAAGCCTTCAAAGCTGGGAAATCATGTGCTCTATCAAAGTTCTACAGAAACAAAATCCAAAGGGAAATACATGTGGCAAAAAAATAACGGGAAAAATAAAAGGGAATCTGAGGGCTTGGCAGAATTAAATCAATCTGCAAATCTGTTAAAAAGGTGGATTGAATTGAGGTTACGAGAATTGATCCACAAGATTTTGTGACAATTGCTAATGTAATCAACACAAAGTCAGTCAAAGTGTCCCAATCTTTCCCGACCCTTAAATGTGCAGATTTATTTTCTTACCTCCCATCTCTACCTTTGCCTACTATCTCAGAATGGGATGTGTATAGAAGATTGTCCTCAATTGAAGGATTAGTTCACTTCCAGAATAAACATTTCCTGATAATTTACTCTCACCCCCATGTCATCCGAGATGTTCATGTCTTTCTGTCATTATTCGCAAAGAAATTGAGGTTTTTGAGAAAAACATTCTAGGATTTTTCTCCATATAATGGATCATCGGGTTGAAGGTCCAAATTGCAGTTTCAGTGCAGCTACAAAGGGCTCGACACGATCCCAGCCGAGGAATAAGAGTCTTATCTAGAGAAACGATCAGTCATTTTCTAAAAAAAAAATAAACATTTATATACTTTTTAACCACAAATGCTCGTCGTGCAACTGAAGACAGAAAGACATGAACATCTTGGATGACATGGGGGTGAGTAAATCATCAGGAGATTTTTATTCTGGAAGTGAACTAATCCTTTAACTGTCACAAATCTCCCAGCCCAGTGTGCACATTAATCAGATTAATAAACTGATTTTGCCAAGGCTTTCAATGCTGTACAGTAGAACATACACTAGCAGTTCAGTGCCTCCTCTTGGAGTGAGACCTAGTCTAATTCCATGGATTTGTAATTTTATGTCTAATCGTCATCAAAGAGTGCGTTTTCAGGGATATCTATCTGATTGGGAAGAATATCCCTCATGTGGAGTTGCTCAGGGAACCATACTGGGGCCCATAATCTTTCTAACCCTGATTAACAGTGTCCTCCAGGATCAAATAGACCACTGGAAATATGTGGATGACATGACTATGGCCCAGAGGTGGACTCCTCATCTGCCCTGTACTCTCCAACAGATGGTGAAGGATCTTGGCATCTGGGTAGAAACATAAAATGAAACAACTCAAAGAAATGCAAGTTTGACATGACACCCGAATGAAACAGACACCAGCTGACCAGAGACATAATCTGTGACTCTTAAAGTTTTAGATAATTTGAAATGGGATGGTCAAGTGGATCACATGTTGTCCTCAGCCAACATAAAGCTTTTTGCTCTGTGCCGGCTAAAGAAATTCGGTGTTCGAGATCAAGAACTGGTTATCATCTATACAGGGTATGTGCTCCCTGTGTTAGAGTACACAGTTCCTATTTGGCACGGTTTGTTGACTACTGATCAAGTTAAAAGGCTGGAAAGTGTGCAGAAACGGGTCTGTAAAAGGTACCAAGGGCACACACCAGCACATACACACATTCACACATACTGCGCAACGGAGGCATGGAAGTGCACGTCACTTGTTCCCTGAGTTTAACAAAGACACGATTCTCCAAGCTCAGTGGGGCTGAATAATGAATGATCAGTGGTTCTCAACCGGTGGGTAGTGGTACAAAACAGGTTCACAGGTATGCTCTGACAGGATCGTGGAGAGAAGCGGACGAAACAATGCTTGTCACTGGGGCAGTAACCTTAAAAGGACAACTTTGTACCTTATTTACCACTAAAAGGCACATATTAGTACTTTAAGTAGTAATATGCACCCTGAGGGTACAACTTTGTACCTTATCCAACCCTAAAAGGTGCATATTAACCCTTAAGTAGTAATATGCACCCTTAAGGTACAGCTTTGTTCCTTTTTCAACCCTAAAAAGCACATTTTAACACCTTAAGTAGTAATAAGCACCCTTAAGGTACAACTTTGTGAAGAAGAAAGTTAGAAATGCTTATATTACTTCACTGGCCAATGGAGCGAACCAACCCCGTGACGTCACACTCTGTGGTACTGCAAGATGGCGGCGCCCTTGCTCCAAAATAAACATTTATATACTTTTTAACCACAAATGCTCGTCGTGCAACTGAAGACAGAAAGACATGAACATCTTGGATGACATGGGGGTGAGTAAATCATCAGGAGATTTTTATTCTGGAAGTGAACTAATCCTTTAACTGTCACAAATCTCCCAGCCCAGTGTGCACATTAATCAGATTAATAAACTGATTTTGCCAAGGCTTTCAATGCTGTACAGTAGAACATACACTAGCAGTTCAGTGCCTCCTCTTGGAGTGAGACCTAGTCTAATTCCATGGATTTGTAATTTTATGTCTAATCGTCATCAAAGAGTGCGTTTTCAGGGATATCTATCTGATTGGGAAGAATATCCCTCATGTGGAGTTGCTCAGGGAACCATACTGGGGCCCATAATCTTTCTAACCCTGATTAACAGTGTCCTCCAGGATCAAATAGACCACTGGAAATATGTGGATGACATGACTATGGCCCAGAGGTGGACTCCTCATCTGCCCTGTACTCTCCAACAGATGGTGAAGGATCTTGGCATCTGGGTAGAAACATAAAATGAAACAACTCAAAGAAATGCAAGTTTGACATGACACCCGAATGAAACAGACACCAGCTGACCAGAGACATAATCTGTGACTCTTAAAGTTTTAGATAATTTGAAATGGGATGGTCAAGTGGATCACATGTTGTCCTCAGCCAACATAAAGCTTTTTGCTCTGTGCCGGCTAAAGAAATTCGGTGTTCGAGATCAAGAACTGGTTATCATCTATACAGGGTATGTGCTCCCTGTGTTAGAGTACACAGTTCCTATTTGGCACGGTTTGTTGACTACTGATCAAGTTAAAAGGCTGGAAAGTGTGCAGAAACGGGTCTGTAAAAGGTACCAAGGATATTCTGATGCCCTCTCCCTTCTTGGATTGTGCACACTAGCAGAGAGACGAGTCTAACTGTGCCGTGAATTTGCTATGAAGCTATAAAAGTCTAGTTTCAGAGACTGGCTACCACCACTCAGGGATTGAGCTGACAGGACGCCAGAGGAGGAACTCAGATGACCTAACGCTGCTGTTCATAAAGAAAAACAGCTTCAGACACTATTGTACATCTATTAAATGCATTTATTGATTGTTGGCTGACATGACAGACAACTGTTGTAAAGAAGGCTTGATGTGTGTTCAGTAGACATGATCAGTGAATTATATCTCCAGGGTGTCACTATAGTCCCGCACACACCAGCACATACACACATTCACACATACTGCGCAACGGAGGCATGGAAGTGCACGTCACTTGTTCCCTGAGTTTAACAAAGACACGATTCTCCAAGCTCAGTGGGGCTGAATAATGAATGATCAGTGGTTCTCAACCGGTGGGTAGTGGTACAAAACAGGTTCACACTGACAGGATCGTGGAGAGAAGCGGACGAAACAATGCTTGTCACTGGGGCAGTAACCTTAAAAGGACAACTTTGTACCTTATTTACCACTAAAAGGCACATATTAGTACTTTAAGTAGTAATAAGTACCCTTAAGATACAAGTTTGTACCTTTTCCAACCATAAAATGCGCATATTAACAACTTAAGTAGTAATATGCACCCTTAGGGTACAACTTTGTACCTTATCCAACCCTAAAAGGTGCATATTAACCCTTAAGTAGTAATATGCACCCTTAGGGTACAACTTTGTACCTTATCCAACCCTAAAAGGTGCATATTAACCCTTAAGTAGTAATATGCACCCTTAAGGTACAGCTTTGTTCCTTTTTCAACCCTAAAAAGCACATTTTAACACCTTAAGTAGTAATAAGCACCCTTAAGGTACAACTTTGTGAAGAAGAAAGTTAGAAATGCTTATATTACTTCACTGGCCAATGGAGCGAACCAACCCCGTGACGTCACACTCTGTGGTACTGCAAGATGGCGGCGCCCTTGCTCCAAAAGCGATATCAAAACATCCTTTTTTCTTTACAACGGTTACATTAAATGTGTTTGTTTTATCTTTTTTAATTAAAGTGGAAATCAGTTTACTAAATAATGTAAACTTGACTGACTGCTTCACTTCCACATTAAGGTACAACATTGTACCTTATGTACCCCTAAAAGGTGCATTTGTATCTTAAATAGCAATATGTACCCTTAAGGTACTAAAACCCTTTTAAGGGTAAATAAAGGTAAAAAAAATTCTTTTTAAGGGTACTGCCCCAGTGGCAATCTGTTGTACGTCAAAAGGTACAAGTTTTGCACATTTATTTCTGAGAGTGTAGGATAGCAAAATAACATTTCCTATATTTTTTGTTCCATTTGTCAAAGGCCCTGCGTCTTGTCAAACAATCTGGGTCTTGAAGCAAACAAGCCGAGAACCAATAGTTTAGATGGTAACCCCCATGTATTTGCTGCTACTAGGGTTATGGTTAGTGGAACCAGGGTTGCCATCCAGACATGATCGTCGTTGGGTTGTGGTACAGTGAGTCAGCACCAGATTCGAGGAAAAGGATCACTGTAACTATAAATACAACATGAACAATAATAATGATGTTCAAATTGACAAAAAACATTGTTTGAATGTTTCTTAAGCATCCATTTCCAGCAGTAATTCAATCTTTAAATGAGTTTATAAAAACGTCTAGAGGCTGAGTGATTCAGATAAGCATCAGACAAGCATGTGTCTGTAAGAAAAAGTCTATTTTAGTTCTAGCTAGCAGTGTTGGTTGCCGTCTTTTGTGGTCCGTCGCCATCTGTTTTCTCGTTCTCTAAGCTTTCGGCATCTCCTATCATCTCTGCTTGGTCTCTTTGTTGGCTAGAAGCGGGTTCCTGTTGGCCGGGAGAACTCGCACGAGGACTCTGTTACATTTCCTGCTCTGCCCCCGGTAGGAAATCCACAAGATCTTGCAGTATGGTTTCCAGCAGCCTCACATCCAAAGGTGGGGCTGTTATTATCGAAGCCCTTGGGAAAGGCATAAACTCTTTGTGGTTACTGGCACCCATATTTCTGGAGCAGTCAGAACTACTGTGGTCGACTACATCCACCACACAGTCGTCCAGGTTTAGTGTGCGTTGAGTGGTTGGGTCACTGCGGCCCATGGGACTCGAGGGCTCAGACAGAGGATTTGAAGAGTCCAAGGTACAACTTGCATTCTGGATGGAATCTTGCTCAGGACTCCCATCCCTTTGCTCGACATCAGCAGCGGTTTGGTCTAGAACATCCAAGACGCGGTCTAGACAGTCGATGGTACGGTCGCTGTCGCTATCTATTGTGATCACAGTGGGTGAACGCAGTTCCCTCCTTCGCTTCCGGTGCCTCCTCTTCCTCCGCTGGACCCAGTGTGGGTCGGGCGCCCTTCGTTCGTAGATGATCTCCACACTTGGAGATCGTTCCCTGCTGTGCCGCCGTTCTCTGTGCCGCTTTTCCTTGGTTGCGGTTCCCTCCTTGTGCTGCCGCTGGGCTGCTCGCTCCAAGTGCCGGGTTTTGTACTTGCGTTTGCCACTGGGTTTGTCTAAGCAGGATCTTTCGGAGTGCAAATCAGCGCTGCTGCTGCTAACAGACCGCCTGCGGCGTTTACGACAACGCTGTGCCTCACGGGGATGGTGGGAGCCAAGGAACGAATCAGAGTCGGGTGACCTACTCCTCCTTTCCTTGGTTTTTCTGCTTCTGGAGTAGGAAGGACAGTGCGAGAATCTCTCACTCGCATGGTGCGATTGCTCTCCACTCCTGTCGCTGTTGTTTCGGGAGGGAGAGCAGTCGCTACTGTGCGACATAAAGGCGGGGCTACCGCTCCGAACGGACACTGCTGGGCTTTGTGTCCAGCTCTGTGTTTGGCTTGGCGAGCAATCTGGGGTCTCGGCACGCCGTGATTGTTCTAAACTCTTATCCTTCTCTTTGCTGCCAGAGCACCGATGACTTCGATGCCTCCTGTGACCTCTGAACCTGGAGTCATCTCGACTCTGCCGTGAATGTGACCGTGAACCATCTTTGGACTGGTGACCATGGAAGGACAAGTAGTCGGCCTCTTGTTCTCTGCTGTGTGACCCGACTCCATTCGAGAGTAAATGCTGTGGACTGCACAAGGGAGCAGGGCCTGGGAAGGAACTAGGACTAAGCGGGTTCATGTGTGACTGTGATGGGAGCTGCACTTGGGATTCCTCTGATTTCATTACTGAGGCCGCTGTCTCGGTGGCGGCTGGCTCTTGCTCCTCTTCTGACGAATCTGAGGAGAGCTGAACAAGTTCTGGGGTCCGTTCGGCCATCGGTTTCACGTATCCCACAATTAGGCACTCTTCCTCTTCGTCATCTTCACCCGGTCCAGCTGACACGCTGCCACTCGCCAGAGGGTCAGTCTTATCCAGGGCGCTGAGGGGAGGGGCTGTGCTTGAGCTTGGCTCTGCCCCCTCGCCCTGCGTTGGGCTGGAAGAGGGGAGGAGGGTTGAATAGGACGGACCAGGCGTTGCATCATCCCACGCTGACTGACTTGGCAAACTTTCCGCTCCACTTGCCGTGGCAACGGATGCAAGGCGTTCCTGGACAGCAGAGGGATTCTCTGTGACATTGTCCTCACTGTCATTATCGTCTTCGTCCTGTGAGAAAAGACAATGACAACAATGAAGACTTGGATTTGGGTTGTGCTGATAGACGGTAGTATCATGTATTGACGATACTCAGAGATATCGCCTGTGGCTTGACGATTATTATTATTATATCAGGTTAGTAATACTATCTAATTAATATTAGGGCTTATTTGTTACATCATATTTAATTTTCCGTGTTTTTACAGTGTTGCGCATTAGATATCTGGCATTTTTCAAATATCGTGTTTGAGGCGGGGCTTTTATTTTGACGCCGCCGAGAACGGCTGCGGCAGCGCCTGAGCACACACTGCTCACTAGGGATGGGAAGATTCCCCGATTCGCTCGGTGCATCGGTATAAAAAAGTTAACGATGCGATGCATCGATTTAAAAAGTGTGCATCGGCTACAAGTTGTCATTTGTCCAAAACCTGACTTGAAATAACCCAACAAATCACTCGGGGCTAAAGTGGTTCCATTTACGACAAATTAAATTCACACAATCTCACTAATTTGTGTACGCTTATTGCTTGTGCTGTTTAATGCATTTGAGACTTTGCGTTTTCCTCAATGCATAACTGACATGTCACAGGTATATTTTTAATCTGTAAATGTTAGAAAGTCATGCAAACATATCCATTTTGCTGTCAGGAGTGGGCGAGGCACGCGACAGAACGAGCGCATCTGCGCGCAGGCGCGCTAAACAGACAGAGAGCAATCGAATAGGAGCGCAATAATTCTGAGTAAAATATACATTTTGCTAAAAAAAATATGATTCCCAATGCACACAAACTTCCCAGAATACCGAGTGCCCTGTTGGTTACAGTGTTTACATCCTTTTTAATTATATTTGTATTAAATATTTATCTATTTGTGAAGAATAATTTGTCTTCTAGAGTATAAGTATGTTTATTTTACACGTTTATTTTTTAATTCATTTTCAAATTATTTCAAATTTCTTAAATATGAATATAAAATTATATCGGCTTTATATCGGCCAACCTGCTTTCCAAGATATCGGCATCGGTAGCGGCTGTCAAAAAACCCATATCGGTCGACCACTATTGCGCATTATAACCAATTAGACACGATTCCGTTGAGTTTATGAATGCAATGGTCAATCAGAGGCGTTCAGATGAGTCATCGCTGAAACACCCGAGTTTTGTTGTTCAGTGCACGCTCGCTGGCTGAATTCTGCTCTCTCGCGAATTCTCTCATCATAAACAACAAAGTGCAAATGCGCGTGCGATGCGTTAAATTATGTTAAATACACATTCAGTCATGTTAAAAATATTTTATATATTTAGTTAATAGATTACACTAACATTAGGCTGCTGGAGTTGGTTCACTTTCCGGCTATGAAACTAAGTAAGTAAATAATTAAATAAATTAACATGATAATATCGTGTATCAGCGATCTCACAGGCTAACGACTGGACGATATGACTATGGAGCATATCACCTAACACGAACTCATAAATAAACAGAAACACAGTGTCACAACACCTCACAGGGGACGATTTCAATAAAATAATAACTTAAATTATGTAGTGTTCCTCACACAAAGTTATCATGAGTTCATAAGATTTCTAGAGATATAGACATACTAAACTCAGAAACTGTTAGTCGTTACTAAATGTAATGTTTAGCCGCGTTTCCACCGAAATTACCCGGAACAATTGTACCAGGAACTTTTTTTTCCCAGGAACTTTTTCCCCCCCAGACCTGTTGCTGTCTGCGTTTTCATCGCGGTCTAAAGTACCGAAAAGAATAGGCAAATAGTCTGGTGACGTAGGTCTGCGCGCGTTTCAATAACAAGTACGCGAATTTCAGACTTGCATCCTCGGTAGTTCGGACTTCGTGAGATCGACTCAGGAGTGTGAACTCCCGCGGACGGGACGACGCAAGTCCGGTAATTCTGCAAACAGCAGCGTACTTGATAAGATTAATCGTGCAGCCCTGTTATCCACTACAGAGACATCAGAGCCAGCGGCAAATGTCAGAAGGACTAGCGTGGAGCTCCCGTCTCCGAAATCAATTTTCAATTAGGCGCTGTTTTTTATAAATAAACCGCAGATTTGAATTTTAAACTACATTCTCGCCTGAAATACTTTTAAAACTACATTTCATGACACAGTAACTGTAATATATATATAAAAAAAAAAAAAATGCAAATGGTGGTTGAAATACAATGCTTCGTGAACTCAACCAATCAGCATGTTCAGCGCTCAAGTCCCGCCCCCCGAAAGTTCCGGACCTTTGAAGAAGTACTACCTCGCGGGCAGGGACTTTCTGAGGGGCAATATTTTACCCGGAACTTTATTTAGATCCTGGTTCCTGCGGTGGAAACACACCAAAGTCCCTAGTTCCTGGGGAAAGTTCCTGCAGTGGAAACGCGGCATTTGATGTTTGTGTGTCTCACCTCGGAGATGGCGATAACAGAAAGGTCCGAGCTGCTGCCCTCCTCGTAGCTGGGAGCGGGACAGTCGTAAACGGCCTGCTGGTCGTACGCCTCCATGTTGAGGGTGGAGCGGGCGAAGCTCACCAGTTCGTGCAGGAAGTGGTCGGTGCGCGCCAGCAGGAAGGGGCGGAGCTCGTCTCGGATGGCCGTGTCCTCCATGTTGTAGTTCATGATGCGCGAGATGATGATGTTCTGCACGATGTTCACCAGCGAGCCGTGCAAACCATACAACACAGTGAGCTCGCGCTGTAGCCAAGGCAACAGTCGCCGCAGGCAGCCAGGGTTTTGTCGCAAGAACGCGGCCGAAATGTCCCTCTGCCTGCCGGCGTCCCGCGTGTTGCGCACGCGTACGCCAGTCCTGTAAAGCGCACGGCGGAACGCAACCACGTCTTGGTCGCACAAGCGCCGCAGGCTCCGCCCATGTCTGCGCGCCGTCAGTCGCAGCACCATCTGCTGCACGTCTTGGTTCTGCACGAGCGCCGCTGCGTCCGCCAGGCCGTCGAACATGACAGCATCCTCTAGCGGAGGGGAGGAGGAAGGGGCGGGGTTTTGCGCTCTGTGGCTCCGCCTCTCCCGGCTTCTGAGAACTCGGGGGCGGAGCACGCGCTCATACGGATCGGCGTTCGCAGGCGCTCCGTTCTCCGGCGGCCGCAGCACGAACTCCTTAAAGTCGTTTTCCCCTTTGACGGAGTGGAATATGGAGTGGAAGGGCTGCTTACAGAGCGGACACTCGGCTTTGTTCTTGGACCACTCTTGGATGCAGCGGAAACAGAACTGGTGCAGGCAGCGGTCCAGCGACGCCACGTTGTTGAAGCCATCGAGGCAGATGGGGCATTTGGAATCAGGCGACGCATTGGCCAATAAACGCTGGGAAGATTTGCCAGCGCTGTCTCTCTTCCTCACACGCAGCTTCATCTTAGAAGGCGCCATCATCTACAACACACAAAACATCAGCTCATTAGACAACCTTAGCATTTATGCATTTAGCGGACGCTTTTATCCAAACGAAAGCGTATTCGTAATATCCAGTGCCGGGTTCATCAGACAACGATGCATGAACGTTTTGAGTTACTTTACTACATTTTATCCAAATGAATTACAAATGAGACAAAAGTAGTTTATCACAAGAGTCTGCAAATCTCCTTAAGAGTAATAAAGTAATTGCAAATAATACAAATCGGGCCCTATGAATATGAATCTGTTTATTTTTTTACCCCCCAAATTCTGTTTCGCATTTAAATTTTTCTAGATTGAAACTGAACAATCAAAAGGGATTATTTTAACAAACTAACTATTTACTTAAATGTAAACAATAATATTGATTTATGAATGCTTAGTTGTTGTTTTTTATAATTCTTATTATTAAAAAACACTTTTGAGTTTTCTTGACTATATATACACAGCTGCAGTCATAAGTTTAAAATTAAAATCTGCTAAATGTTAATATAAAAAATAATCTATTAAAATTTTAAGAAGAGTAACGTCCTATGAAATGCTTATTAAACTTTCTTACTAATCCTAATTATAAAAAAAAAACATTTTTGGGTTTTCCTGACTGTATATACACAGTTGCAGTCATAAGTTTAAAATTAAAATCTGCAAATATTAATAAATAACATATAAAATATATAAAATTAAACGTTAATATATATAAAATAATTTATTTAAATTTTAATAATAGTATAAAATGCTTATTAAACTTTCTAGCTAATCCTTATTATTATTATTTTTTTTTTTAGTTTTCTTGACTACACAGGTATACATCAAAACACCATGGTAACTAATTATTTTCAACAATTTAAATAAATAAAAACACTATTGAATCTCTAAATACAGCGACAACCCATAAACACCAACATATGCTCAAAATAACAGAAGAAATCACACAAAATATTAGAAATGTTTCAGAAATAAGCAGCGACGAGCTGTCTGTCGTGTTTTGATCAATGATTACTGGTTATCTCTCTCTCCTGCCTTCTCTAATGAGTCAAAGCAGCGATTATAAAACACCTCTGCAGACGTTAAATGGATAAAAACATCAAATATGATCAAAAATAAAACAAATGTCTGGTTTATGAGGCAGATTCTCACCTGATCATCAGCTCCTCATCACAAAGCAGCGAAAACACTGCGAGCCATCCAAACCGCGAACACATCTGTGTCACATCAGCGCCTCGTCCATCGCGATAAAAACACAAAATAAGAGAAAATTAATATTAAAAACCGATGGAAGCGGAGGAGTTTCGCGCTGCTGTTGAGGAGCAGAAAACACACAGCAGAGCGTCTCTTCCGGCAGACGTCACGGGCACGCATACGCACACGCACGCCTCTGCCGGTCTGGAGCGGTACTACACCTGCGGCGAAAACCACGTGACCGTCTGTAAAACTATATAAACAGATATAAAGAGGAAAAAAATTAATAAAATGCAGATTTAAAAAAATATAATTAAATGAATAAAAAATGAATAAATGCGTGTTCTTTCTTTCATTAGAAATATATAAATGTGTTAAAATATACAGAAAACAAATAAATAATGAAGTAAATCAATTAATAAAAATAAACAAAAAAATAATAAAATAAAACAAATACATAAATGCAAATTTTTATTTCTTTAAAAATATAAACATATTTATTAAAATATTAACAAAAATTAAAATTATAAAAAAATACAAAACAAACAAACAAATAAATAAAATGCATGTTCTTTCTTTTTTCTTTTACAACATATAAACATTATTAAATATACAGAAAATAAATAAATAATAAAGTAAATCAATTGATAAAAATAAATAAACAAATTAAATAAAACAAATAAAAAAATCACGTTTTTTATTTCTTTAAGAATATAGACATATAGTTATTAAAATATAGAAAACAAAAATGAAAATTAATAAAAAATACAAAACAACCATTTATTAAACACACAGAAAATAAATAAATAATAATAAATAAAATTAATGAATAAGCAAATTAATGCATAAAATAAACAAATCAACAAAAATAAAAAGACAACACATAAATAAATGCATGTTCTTTCTTTAAAAATATATAAACATATACTTATTTACTAAAATATATAGAAAATAAATAAAAATAGATAAATACCAATAAGACATTTATTTTTATTTAGTATTTACTAAATAAATAAATACCAAATAAATAAATGCATGTTCTTTCTTTCTTTAAAAATATTTAAACATACATTTATTTGAATATATTGAAAATAAATAAAAAGTAAAAACAAACAAATACTAAATACATAAATGCATATTCTTGTCTATATTGTCCTTTGAATAGCAAATGCAGATATTAATGCCATCCAGTTTGAATAACAATAAAAAAAATCATATTAATTAATTATTAATTAATAATTAAAAATAATTAATTAATTAAATAAAAATAAAAATAGTCCAAAATATATATTGTTTATAGGATTTAAATAATAAACATTAATATAGTTACTTTATATTTTAAAATATTTTACGTAATTTATTTAGCAGTTTTGAAGATAATTCTTATTTACTCACATTACTTACAAGAGACAAGAGACACATAGTGCTAGTTTGCTGTTATTTAGTTTTTATACCATTATGGTAGTTATTAATATTTTTAAATGTATATATTTTGATTTAGCTTTTTAAGTTTTCATTTAAGTTTAAGATTCAGTATCAAATTATTTCAGATTTATATATGTGTGTGTGTGTATATATATATATATATATATATCTACACTACTGTTCAAAAGTTTGGGATCAGTAAGTTTTTCAATGTGTTTTAAAGAAGTCTCTTATGCTCATCAAGCCTGCATTTATTTGATCAGAAATACAGAAAAAGCAGTAAAATTGTGAAATATTTTTAGCATTTAAAATAGCTGTTTTCTATGTGAATATCTGTTAAACTGTAATTTATTTCTGTGATGCGCAGCTGTATTTTCAGCATCATTACTCCAGTCTTCAGTGTCACATGATCTTCAGAAATCATAACAATATGCTGATTTATTATCAATTTGTTTTTAGAACCTGAGATACTTGTTTCAGGATTTTTTGATGGAAAAAGTTAAAAAGAACAGCATTTATTTCAAAAGTTTGGGGTCAGTAATTAATTACTTTCTTTCTTTCTTTCTTCCTTTTTTAAATGAATGCTTTTATTCAACAAGGGTGTGTTAAATTGATCAAAAGTGATAATAAAGACTTATTAGAAAAGTTTTCTATTTGAAATAAACGCTGTTCTTTTGAACTTTATTCATCAAAGAATCCTGAAAAAAGTATCACAGGTTCCAAAAACAAATATTAAGCAGTTTCCAACATTGATAATAAATCAGCATATTATACTGATTTCTGAAGATCATGTGACACTGAAGACTGGAGTAATGATGCTGAAAATACAGCTTTGATCACAGGAATAAATTACATTTTAACAGATATTCACACAGAAAACAGCTGTTTTAGATTCTAATAATATTTCACAATATTACTGTTTTTTCTGTATTTCTGATCAAATAAAAGCAGGCTTGATGAGCAGAAGAGACGTCTTTAAAACACATTACAAATCTCACTGATCCCAAACTTTTGAACAGCAGTGTAGATATACACGGAGCTTATCTCCACGACTGAACTGGAGACTGAACAACCACAGCCTGGATTCACTTCAGACGGAGAAACCAGCAGAGACCAGACTCAATCCATGCCACAATCACTTCGTGTATTCAATGCGGGATTTTTGTCGTCTTGTTTCATTCAAAAGATGTAAATACTTCAATTTTTGTAATATATATATATATTTTATCAATCTTTTTTTAACTAAAGAATTATTTTCCGTTAGCTCTGGCTGTGTATGTTTGGCTACACTATCAGGCCACTAGGTGGGGTAGTGCACTAGAAACAGCAGAAGCACACTACACAGGGCTTTCTGGAATATTCCACAGTATTCACGGCGGAAAGATAAAGAAGTCTAATGCAATGACACTCACTGCTCAAAAACTGAAAATAATAATAATTAATTAATAATAATAATTTATGCATTTAGCAGACGCTTTTATCCAAAGCGACTTACAGTGCATTCAGACTATACATTTTTTTTTACCAGTATGTGT